GCCACCTTAGGTGTACGTGGCTGGCGCCTTAGCCAGTTGAGCTATACGCGCCGAGCCTTTTTGTTTTTTTTTAATGGACTAAAGTATTGGGATTCAGTGATTAGGAAAGGCAGACTATTCATCTAACATTTGAGGTACTGTATTGCTTTTTATTGGCTTGTGTGTTGATTTGAGAGTCTTAAGATGTATACGCTTTAGTAAAAGAGTTTAATATTGAACAAAGCTTACCTAAAAATTTTATGTGTGGTTAATATGAAAGTAATTTCCACCATAGGTTATTGGGCTGAGTAAGATGAATTTTCTATAAACCATCATTTTTTATGCATGGATTTAATGGAGGAATGAACATGCATAGCATTGCTGGTCATTGCTTCCTCTCTAATTGTGGAGACCAGTAAAAATTGAAAGGAGTCTATGATAGGATAATGGTACTGATGCCAGGAAGAATGCAAAGACGTCTGTATAGTCCTCTGTGCCAATGGGGAATCGAGAGCCCTTTCTAAATTTTGGGATTTAAATCTCTAAAAGGATTTTAAATCTTTGAAGGGATTGAAGGGACTTAACAGTAATTTATAATTGGTAGTTGCTTTTGACTGTAAAGTGATGGTGGCTAGGTTATTGAAGAAATCTTCTCAAGGCCATTGAACATTGTACTGTCCTGTCCTCTACCCTTGGTCACAAGAGAAGGGATGAAAATGTGAGTCAACGCTAATTAGAAAACAACTCAGACTGGGCGAGGTGGCTCAAGCCTGTAATTCTAGCACGCTGGAAGGTCAAGGCAGGAAACCTAAGTGAGACCACTCTAAGCAAAAGTGTGACCACCAAAAACAAACAAACAAAAAAAGTGAGACTACCACCTCTACAAAAAATAGAAAAAATTAGCCTGGTGTGCTGGTGTATGCCTGTAGAGTCACACTAACTTGGGAGGCTGAGGGAGGATCAATTGAACCCAGGAGTTTGAGGTTGCTGTGAGCTAGGCTGACACCATGGCACTCTAGTTTGGACAAGAAGAGCAAGACTGTCTCAAAAAAAGATTTTTTTTTTTTTAATAGAGACAAAGTCTCACTTTATCGCCCTTGGTAGAGTGCTGTGGCATCACAGGTCATAACAACCTCCAACTCTTGGTCTTAAGCCATTCTCTTGCCTCCCAAGTAACTGGCACTGCAGATGCCCACCACAGTGCCCAGCTATTTTTTGTTGCAGTTTGGCTGGGGCTGGTTCGAACCTGCCACCCTCGGTATATGGAGCCGGGCCCTATTCACTGAGCCACAGGCGCCGCCCTATTTTTTTAAACTTCTTAATTTATAGACAATTAACTTTAAATTTTGGGTTATTTCTAGTTTATTAGATTATGGGTAATGTCATCCTGGAAAATTTCTCTTTTTGGCCAAGAGCATGAACAATTTATAGTGTTCCTTGGAACTGAGAGAAGAATGTAAAAAAGGTAGAATGAGATCTGAGAACTTTATTGAAAATCTGATATATGGCAAATAATCTTGTAGGCAGTTTTCATTTAATCCTCACCACAGCCCTGTTAAGGAAGCATTATTTCTTACCATTTTATAAGAATGGAATGTAGGGCAGTGCCTGTGACTCAGTGGGTAGGGCACTGGTCCTATATACAAAGGTCGGCAGGTTCAAACCCAGCCCTGGCCAAGCTGCAACAAAAAAATAGCTCGGCGTTGTGGCGAGCACCTGTAGTCCCAGCTACTCAGGAGGCTGAGGGAAAAGAATTGCCTAAGCCCAGGAGTTGGAGGTTGCTGTGAGCTGTGATGCCACAGCACTCTACCCAGGGTGACAAAGTAAGACTCTGTCTCTAAAAACAATAAAAAAAAAATAATAAAAAGAATGGAATCTAAATTACAGAGTGACTGGCAGTAAATCAGACAATGATAAAGACTGTAAATCGCTACATATTCATTTTATTTATATCTACTTGAGCTGTCTCAAGGTTATATTGAATTTTCAGCTAGTTTTTTGCATATGTCAAGCTGTCTTAGTGTCTCTAGGAATTTTTTGCTTCCTGTCTTTTGTTATATTGCTTAGTGTATGAAGATTTGCTACTCTTAACAGTTTCAGAGATTATGTCCTTTTTAAAGTAATTTCTTTTCTTATAGCTGGAATTCTGATATAAATATTGCCACTTCTGCTTTTTTTTTCTAACTATTCTCTTTTTGAAAAACTGAATATATCTGGTTGTTCCTTTTATTTACAAAGTTTTTGGTAACTCTTAGGTAGGGAGACTATTTTTCTTGTTTTTTTATAGCTTTTCAGTTCTGTTTCTCATTTGTTCATAAGAACTTTCTATATGGAGATAGGATACATCAGGCTTGGTGGCTCGTGCCTGTCATCTTAGCCCTCTGGGAGGCCGAGGCCAGTGGATTGCTTGAGCTTAGGAGTTGGAGACCAGCTTGAGCAGAAGCGACCCTGTGTCTGTTAAAAGTTTTTCCACAGGGAAAAACTACCCTGTGGTTATGTCAAGAGCCTGTAGTTCCAGCTACTTGGGAAGCTAAGACAATAGGATTGCTCAAAACCCAAGCATCTGAGGTTGCAGTGAGCTATGAGGCCATTGGTACTCCAGCCTGGGCAACAGAGTGAGGCTCTGTCCCTAAATAAATACATGGAAATAGGATCTTTATAATTTAATAGTAACTTTGTTGCCTAGAAACTTAGGAAATTATGGTTTCATTATATACTTACCTGTTTTTTCTTTTTCTTTTCTTTTTTGAGACTCTGTCACCCTGGGTAGAGTGCCATGGCCTCATAGCTCTCAGCAACCTCGAACTCTTGGACTCAAGAGATCTTGCCTCAGCCTACAGAGTAGCTGGGACCACAGGTGCCTGCCACAATGCCTGGCTAGTCTTTCTAATTTTAGTAGAAATGGGGTC